GGTTTGCCAATTCTCAGCTTTTAATTAGGGTCAGGGCAGTACTAGGGATTTCCTATGCCCAAGTTATTTAAAGATTACATAGATCTGGAAAAAAAGGATATATGCTCAGAATGATTCACCCCACTTTCTTAGTCCTAGCGCATGCCTGGAGCATTGGTTTCCTCTCCACTACATTTTGTAGTGACTAATGGAGGGGGGAGGTCCCCCACAAATTTTTACTCCAATTCTAAAGCTATAGGATTACAATATGCCTTGGCCTGTTGGGCATTCGTGAGGTTAGACTCTTCCTGTCTCATAGGAGCAGGACTCTTACCAGTTATGAAGGGACTTCCCTTGGGACTTGTTACAACAGCATGCAGTGTATGGAAATTTGAGGGTAGTTTCCTGTTCTGCTTTGCCATCAGGGTGACTCTGAAAAGGTTTCTTACAGGAGAAAACTGTCCACAGGGCTGATTAATTACTACACAGAATTCATTAAAAGTAATTGGGCAACTCGAATCAGTTGTTGAGATGAAAAGAGGCAGGCTCTTTCCATCTCATAACTTTAAATTCTAGGTCTGCAGGTAAAGCTTTGTAAAGGGACCCACCTCAGATATCTACACTGAGCTCTCCATTGCTGAGAACGTCTTCCCCCAAGTCTACCACTCCAAGCCCAGATGAATTGCTCAAATTCAGGGGGAAAAGGGTGTATAAACTACATACATTTATAATACAATAGACGGAATTTTAAGAAACCATTTATAACTATCTTTATAGATAAAACAGCAAAAACAAAACCAATTTGAATAGCTTAAAAATCTTGCCCATGTAGCTGCTGGCATCGATATTCCATACAAGATATAAATTATTTCCTGAGATGCACACCCTGCACCCCAATTGATATTTTAATAACTTGATTAAAATTTTCTCAGAAGTCTATTAGACAGGAAACAGTCTGCGGTGTAGGTGAGGACTCAGTTTTTGCAATGGAAACTCTTTGCCCCATGATCAGAACAGCAAAAACTGAATGAAATGTGTTCTCCCTTCAGTCTTTCCTGGTGCACACATTAAAAAATGAAAAATTATTTAGGAAAGTAGTGTTTAGATTTGTTTTTTTCTTATTATCCACAACCAGGTGCATAATATGTTCCAATTGTTTGTCTTCTACTCCCAATTAGCTCCGATTTTCCAGCACGACTTTTTTGTTTTGATTTTTAATTTCAACCTCCCAAGGTCAGGATGAGAGGGAAGAGGGGAAGGTACTTTTATTAAAAACAACGAATAACTTGAGGTTTGGAGCATTTGGTCTGCCAGCCTCTAATGAAGCAATGAGTCTGACAGTCCATTGGCTACTCAACACAGACACTGCTATGAAAACCCCAAAGGCCTGGTGGCTATCCCAGAGATGAACCTCCATTCCTGCAAGGCCCCAGGTCCCCCGCCACAGCCGCCGCCTGGCTCTGGGGTCCTTCCTCCCAGTGTAGACACCCTGGCACTTCGGTTTGGTCTCCTCCAGCGTTTGAGCCTGCGCAGGGCCGGCCGCTTCAGGCTCGTCGCCACCGGGTGGGTGCAAATACCTTTTCCCTCCCCGGGGCCCCAGCGCGCGGACACCTCCCGCCTCCCCCTCCCTGCGGCGGGGCCCATTCGCGGCTGGGGAGCA